CAAATGAAACATAAGGAAGTACATCCTGAACATGTCTAATATTACTACTAAATTGATGGCACTTAAGTTAACATTTTGGAGGACATGTTTATCCTATAGGTCTTGCTCTTGAAATTAAATTTAATTTCAGTTCATAGACACACTTGGGGGTAGATTTTGGTGTAATTGAATAAATATGATGGGTTTGTTCATTTAGTATTTTTGGTATCATAATTTTCTATCAATATTATTAAAAAGTACTATTTACGTCTACTCACAGAGTATACATATTTTTATTTTAGGTTGTCCAATTACAAAGTAATCATTTCAAAAAACTTTAGTTGTGTTCTTTTGTGGGTTTTATACAGAACTTTTACTATTCATATTTTCTTTTCCCTCCAAAAATATCAAATCAAACAATTATTATTTTTTATATATTATACTAAAAATCTATTTTATATTCAAAACATCACATCAATATATATTTATATCACATCAAACAATTATTTGAATTCAATTTTTTACTATTCAAAAATCCAAACCCATGAAACAAACACACCCTAATTAACATATGTCTCTACTTTATATCACATCATTATTTTTATACTAAAAAATAAGGTAAAATTATCTTTACATTATTTTTAAAATAATATTATTTTTTAAATTCCGCACCAAAAGTAAATATGTATTTTTTAGCTAGACAGTGGGAGTATAATAATATATATATATTAACATAATATAATATATACTATATATTATCCATTTATATAGAGTTAATAATTTAATATAAAATACTCACTTCGTCCGGCTACAAAGTATATATATTTCTATTTTAGTACGTCCAATTAAAAAGTAACTATTTCATTAAATACCCTATTTTTTTTCTACAAATACTCTTACTTTACATCACATCGTTACTTTTATACCAAAAAGTAAGGACAAAAATATCATTATACTACTTTTACCTACCCACTATAATAATAATACTATTATTTCTTAAACTTCGCGCCAAAAGTAAATGAATACTTATTGTTTGGCTGAGGGAGTATTATTTTTTATATACATAATTTTTTAATTTTTTATATAAAAAATATACTGTTTTCGTCAATCAAATTTATTCTATCTTTCCTTTTTAGTTCATATGCTAAATTTACATCATTATTAATTTTTCCAAAGTCAATAAATCAATATTTAATTATTACTTTTCATTCAACATTCATTTACAACAACTATCTTTATTACATTATTTTTTCATTTATTTTAATTTTTAACTAAATTTTCAAAAATATCTCCAACTACCTTTTTACTTTATCACTTTTTAATAAAATATTTATTTTTGTTAATCTACGTGACGGCGGACCCAAATAAACTAATTTTAATAAATAAAAGTATCTTTCTAAAAATACAGTTAACAAACCTGAAATGTTTTATGAAAATATATATATTATATTTTAAAAATATTAAAATAAAAATCCAATCCAACAAAATACTCTTCATCCTAAGATAATTATTTTTTTCATTAGTGACAGGCTATTTAAGAAATTTGTATTTAATTAGGTAATAATAATAATTTATGATATTATTTTATTATTTTTATATAATTAATAATATTGATAGTTTTAATATATATGATTAGAAAAAAAATTAGAATATGTATTTAAATATTTTAAAAATTATATCGCAATAAAGAATATATGCAATATGGATATTATTTTGTATATAATAAAATTTTCTATAAGAGAAATAAAAAAAAATTACTTTTATTTATATATAATAATATAAACTAATTTTATAAAGGATGTGGAGTTTTAAATGTAGATTAAAATATTTATTTTTTGAAAAGAGAGATAAATAAAGGGATTTTTAGTGAGTATTGAATTATTTATGATGTGATATATTATATAGTTAATTAGGTTGATTTATATTTGTTAAATATATTTTGATTTAATAATTTTTATTTAAAAAAAATATCAATTATTATGGGATAAAAAAATTTGTCAATTATTATAGAATTTAAAAAAAATAAAAAAAAAATCTATCAATTGTTATAAAATGAAGGACTATAACATAATATTACAAATGGGAGAAGGTAAGAAGATAACATGGTGGGGTCAAGTGGTGCCCAAATACATAAATAAATAGAAAGGAATTCTAACACTCACTAATTAGGACACCTTAACTAACTAAATTACTATCATTATTAGCCTCTAAAAGCATTATCCAATTAATTAATTAATATATTTTCGCATGCACCCTTAACCATTATTATGTAGCTTGTTAACTCTTTGCGCACGGCGTAAACTCTCGGTCGAACCTAATACTCTGCAAATCAGGTACGATGGGAAAGTCACACTAGCCGAATCATGTATGGCAGGTGACACGAGGCGTCGGGGGTTTGAACCCATGACCTCATGATCACAAGTTCAACCCTTACACTATTATTTCTACTTTATTTACATACTAGTGTAACGAATGGACGATAAATTATTATTTTTTATTTTATTTATACATTATTATTTATAAAAATGCAATAATAAATTTATTTTTTTTATTTTTTTTTATTTACACAATATTATATATCCTATTAAATATATATATATATATGTTAAAAAATATCTATATAGATAGTAAAGATTTTTTCTCATTGTTGTTCATAAGTATTATAAAAAATAATGTATATATATATTAATATAATATTTTACCTAACTTCATATATTTATGATAATATATACAATTTTAACCGTAAAAGTAATTAATTAGATTGTTGCAATATAAAAATTATTATAATAATAAAGTAAATAATATTATATTATTAGTACTCCTTCTATCTCACTTATCATGTCCATCTTTTTATTTTCGTTTGTTCCACTTATTCTGTCATTTTTTTTTTTTTGGAAAAAAATTATATACGTTAATTTTATTGTAATTTTTTAAATTTTAATTAGACTAATTAGTTATCTTAATATGAAATTATTCTTATTATATGATAATTATTTTCATTAATACATTATTAATTATATAATAATTATACCTCTCCTAAATTCTATTGTACGGTAAAAGAGACACGATAGCTGATAGTTGGGATGGAGTAAGTATTATTTTTGTACAGTCCCACCACCTCTTCCCTTTTTTTTATATCTTATTACTCCTTTTGTCCCACTTCTCATGTCCATATTTCCATTTCCGTTCGTCTCATTTATTTTGTCACTTTCCTTTTTTGAAAAAGAATTATACATTTTAATCTTATTTTAAAAAAATTTAATTTATATATATTTTTTTTAATTTTAATTATACTAATCAATTATCTTAATCTTAATCTGTAATTATTTTTATTATACGATAATATTTTCACTAATACATTCGTAATTATTTACTAATTATACCCCTTCTAAATTCTCGTATCTACAGTAAAACGGACAAAATATCGGAGATGGAGAAAGTATTATTTAAATAGTGGGTCCACAAAGAAAAAAATAAAAAAAAATAGAAAAAAATTGTGTATAATTATGTATTTGACTCAATCAAACTTTTTTTTATTAATATATTTTTTTTTGGTTAAAATTATGTTAATTTTTTTATTATCGACTAATTTTATTTATAATCCATTTATAAAAAAAAATATTTATTTATATTTTTATTTTAACACACAATAATTATTTTTTACTTACTAATTAGTTTTTATCAATATTGGAATTGATTTTTTTATTATACATACCCGTAGTTTAATATATATATATATATATTAATCATTAATCTATTTCACTTTCATTTAAAATAATATTATTTCTCTCATACTTAAATAAAATTTCATAATTTCAAATCAAAATTAAATTTGTTTGTAACTAAAATTTTTAAAAATTATTTAATGAAGTGTTGTTATAATTAAAAATTGTAAAAATCACATATGTATATAATATATATCGATCTATATTTAAAATATTTAAGTTTTATTCCTTTGATTCTAAAACAATAATTTTAATTTTCTATTTTAGTTTATTTTAAAACAATAATCTTATTTTTATAAATAAATATATTATAATAAAACTTTCATTACATTTTCATTATTACTACACAAATTTTACCACACTTTACATAACTACACTCACAATGACAAATATAAATTTTTACTCATTTTTTTACTAATTATCAATATATATTCCTTAAATTTTGTATCAAACCCTAATAAGATTATTTTTCTAAGATGGAAGAATATTATGTGTATCAATTATACAAAATTTAAGTAATAATTAAATTAATTGATATTAAAAATAATATTAATACATATAATGTTTGTAAACAGCTTTTCAAACAACTTTTAATTTTTAAAATATTTTAAATTTTTTGACTGATCCAAAAATTAATTTAAATATTTGATAAATTAATATTTTGAAAAGAACTTTTTAGGCCTAAAAATTTTATCTTTAATCAAAATCAAAATACAAAATCAAAAATTCTACAAACACAAGGAATGAAAACGATGAGAGGAAATGATTGTAACTAGCAAGCAACGAGAAAAACCTCCAGAACCCACAAAGAATTGCACGTAAAAAAAAAGGTGATGAGAGAATCACAAACACAAAATGAATTTCAAGATCTAACGTTAAAGGGCAAGATTATATATCGGTGTGTGTCGGGTCGATTGAGCAAATCCGGGTTAAAGGACTCGGGTCGTGAGTCACAAGTCAGGCAAAAAAATATCAATAGACTGCACTACATATTACAAATATTGTTGATATTTTTGGCCCGACCCGACCCTACGACCTATGCCCAACCCGCAACTCAAACCCCGTAGCCCGAATCCGAACTCTATTTGGTACTGACCCAATCCACTTCTATTTATTTCCTATTTCTCATTTGCTCCGAAAAAACAAAAAAACTCAATTCTATAGATTTATCTGGTCTTCTTTTTCACACGGTTCTTTATGGGATTTTGGAGGTTATTCTTTTTTTTTGTGAGTTACAACCTTTATAACCTCCAGTTCTTCCGGTTTGGAGTTTTTTTGGAGGCAATGTTAATTGAGTCATTCACTTCCGAGAGAGCTTTTTGCCTGAGCCATTCCAAAAAGGTCCCGAATTAGTCCTTGGAAAGTCGATTTGAGAGTTTCTGGGAAGAAATCGCCACTGATCTGTTCACTACCAGAGGAGGCCGCTAATTCTGCATGTTCGTTGTCGCCGTTGCTGCTGGAGCAGCCATCCACATTCATGTTCGCCCGTGATGGATTAGTCGAAGTTGTTCGTGGATCTAGGTTTTTTAGATTCGTGTTTTGCTTCGTTCAACAACTCAAAACAAGGAGTCAGTGTTTCAATATATTTTAGTTTATTGCCCTGTTTGTGTTGGTTTTTAGATTTCAATTTCAATATTTTATATTCTGCCTAGGTATCAAAGAGGGCCGAGTTGATGCTTTGGTGAAGAACGTGATGAACACTTTGAAGCTTTGGGATGAACTTTGGATGCTCTTCCTTGGCTTTGATGGATTCTTCAACGGCTTTTGGAGCTTTGATTATTCCTCCGGCTTGGGCATTCGACAAATAACATTAACTTCATCGATTCGTCAACCAATGTTGGATTATTTGTCCAAATCAGTGACTTTCGACAAAGAACGCTTCGAATGACACGAAGAACATAAAGAACAATATAGAGAGAGTCTAGAGACTTACCCATTTGCTTGAATCCTCCATGCAACTTCGGTGTATCAAATGAAATGGCCATGGCCCCTATTTATAGGAGAGGGGTGACGTCGGCTTCCCTTTTTAATGATGTCACGTGGTGCATCCTGATTGGCCAACGGAAATATTTTATAATCTTTCTTTTTCTATCAGATGTCGTTTTCCACTTTTAAAGGATTTGATTGTGCGTCTTTCTATCTTGTCAAGATCTTTATATCATTTTCTTTTTCAAAAGATATTAATTTATATACTTCCTTTGTTGACAAGATTAATTTATTTTGCTGTCAAATTTATTATGGTTATATTTATGAACGTAATATTTGTACAATATCTTCCATTTTAAGCAGATTTTTGCATTAATGGTTGATATTTATTGTACAAAAATTAACATATGTGCATAATTAAATATCACATATTTATTATATTAGAATTTTATTTTCTTCTAATATATGATATTTAATTTAATTTAGGCATTTAATTTTTTATACCTACAGTATACATATAGAATAATTGCTATGTGTAGACTTTTTGGATTATACTGTTATTTGCAATGTACGGTAGTGCTTGGTGATGACACATCTTATGTTGAAGTACTGTTACATTTTGCAATAACAGTAGTTAGTCGGACAACCGATTGACCTATGTCACATGGTCTGTTGGGGATTATATTTGGTTATTTATAGCCCTATATAACCATTATCATGCAAATTTTGGTCCACTCATTAGATTTGCACCTAGTGGGGTCTACTGGTAGTTCAGGATCATTAGTCAACTCCAAACGTGATCCCGAATGGCATGCGATGAGGAGTAAGAGTTTTCAGGTTCCCTTTGGGTGACTCTTGAGGTACACGAATTCCAAAACTATACACGGGATAGATCTCTGGATAGGTCTATCTTCGCTACCACAAGCTCTAGATAGTTCTGTGGTTAATGGCAATACATGTCGACTATCCATATGATTGATTGGTACTCTTCTATTATTTGTATCTTGTTGGTTATGCCTTTGATGTTGGGGTTGGATGTCTAGCTAATTGTATCAGACTTTTTATATTATTTCTTGAGGGAAATTCTTACTAATTGTTTTTCCTTTTCTCGTGCTATTGATGATATTCATGGGCATTTTGGATAATGCCACCTTTTGATGGGTGGCTTTACTTACTACCAATATTACATAATGGAACATTTATATTGAAAGAAACAAAAATGGTTTTATGCAGTGTGAAATATCACCCATATATATATATATATATATTGAAATCAAATATTTCTTGTTGTATGATGGAGTTTCCTTTCTTGTCTCCTCATATCTTTAAATAGAATAAATATAAGAGAGAATGAATGAGGTAATCATAACACATGTAACATCAAATTTATAAATGTGTATGATTTGAATTGTATTTATTTGTATAATTTTATTCTACTTACGCGAAAATTTGCTGATGTTAAATCTATATTATGTAGGTAATCTGGGTGAGAAAGACTCGCCCTATGCATCATGATGGGATTCATACGGGATTGAGAGCACCTAATTAATTAATTATTATTATTTTATTTATAATGATCTAATAATCTTAATTGCGAGTAGAGACCTTGACATGTGTTTCATTTTAATGCACTCATAAAAAGGAAAATATATTTATTTATGCATGATGGATTTTAAATTTATATTATATAAGCCTTAACATCGCAATTAGGCGGGTCGGCTTGGTAAAAACGACTCTTTAGTTTGAAGTGGTGGTAATATTCCGGTTTGAGCCAATTGGGATGCTACACGGCGACTTCTCCAGTGGCCAACGAGCAGTTGACAGATTGGAGCAACAACCGTCTTTATCTAGTACAAACAGCTTCAATGGATGCGACCTCCGGAGATTCTCAAATCGACTCTCCAAGGACGATGGTATCACTTTGGATTGGCTCAAATTTCAACCCTTCTTGGTGGTGAATGACTCACTACAGGGACTACCCAACCGTCTCCAAAACAAACCCTAACCCAATGAATCGAACAACCGAAAACCTAACTCTACACTCCAATCAAACCTCGGAACACTCCGTGCACAAGGAATGAGAACTCACCAGAGAAATCGATGAGAGGAAATGATTGTAACTAGCAGGAAGGAGAGAAACCCCCAAAACCCAGAAAGAATTGCAAGCAAAAAAGGTGAAGAGATAATCACAAACACAAAATGAATTTCAAGATCTAACGTTAAAGAGCAAGGTTATATATCGGTGTGTGTCAGGTCGATTGATCAAATCTGGGTTAAAGGACTCGGGTCGTGAGTCACAAGTTAGGCAAAAAAATATCAATAGACTGCACTACATATTGCAAATATTGTTGATATTTTTGGCCCGACCCGACCCTACGACCCATGCCCAACCTGCAACTCAAACCCCGTAGCCCGAATCCGAACTCTATTTGGTACTGACCCAACCCACTTCTATTTATTTCCTATTTCTCATTTGCTCCGAAAAAACAAAAAAACTCAATTCAATAGATTTATCTGGTCTTCTTTTTCACACGGTTCTTTATGGGATTTTGGAGGTTATTCTTTTTTCTTTTTTTTTGTGAGTTACAACCTTTATAACCTCCAGTTCTTCCAATTTGGAGTTTGTTTGGATTAGTCCTTAATTGAGTCATTCACTTCCGATAGAGCTTTTTGCCTGAGCCATTCCAAAAATGTCCCGAATTAGTCCTTGGAAAGTCGATTTGAGAGTTTCTGGGAAGAAATCGCCACTGATCTGTTCACTACCAGAGGAGGCGCTAATTCTGCATGTTCGTTGTCGCCGTTGCTGCTGGAGCATCCATCCACATTCATGTTCGCCCGTGATGGATTAGTCAAAGTTGTTCGTGGATCTAGGTTTTTTAGATTCGTGTTTTGCTTCGTTCAACAACTCAAAACAAGGAGTCAGTGTATCAATTTATTTTAGTTTATTGCCCTGTTTGTGTTGGTTTTTAGATTTCAATTTCAATATTTTATATTATGCCTAGGTTTTTTAATTTGGAACATATTCTATTTGATGAGTTGTGTTGTTTTTTGACAGTTTATCAAAACATCAGTGGTATTAAAGCCAAATTTTCTAAAACAACGGTAAGTTCGGGCAGAATCTTTCAATTGATATCGATCGATAGTAATAGATCGATTTTTTTAAAATGCTAAACTTATTTTTTTATATTTCTTGGGGAATTTTTTGATTGCACAGTTAGTGTGGGATGACCTGATTGGTTATTTCTTGGTTAAATATGTGTGATCTTGAGAATTTTGATACATTTTGTGGATTTTTGGCTAGTTGTTAATTGATAATTTCTTGGTGCGCCTTTCGTTGTTGTTAATAATCTTGTGATGGATTGTGTTTTTCTTTGGAACAGTTGGTTTAGTAAGTGTGTATCATTGTTATGTTAATTGTTTGTTTTTTAATTTCTTGGATTGCAATATTTGAGTAATTTTTTTGTTGGCAAATATATTTTCTTTTAAAATGTCTGCCCCAATTAGTACATTTTTCAAGTGTAACATTGTACACGAAAGTAACATTTTCGTTGTTCTTACTTGAGAAAATTTTTCAATGCAAATTAGATATTAGTAAAAGTGTGAATAAGAATATGGATGTGTTTTCTAAATTAATTCAAGATATAAAGTTAAGTAGAGATCAATACATTGCTAAATATTCTCCGGTTATATTTTTTAATGTCATTCTCAATTCATATAGTGATGTTAAGTCTGCAATTAAATATAGAGATAACATTACTTTAGATTTAGTGATAAATGACTTTTAAAAAATAATAAATTAAATTTGGTAGCTAATAAATCAATTTGAAATTCAAGTGGCGAAATTATACATACTAAAAGAAATAATAAAAATAACAAAAATAGAGACAATTAAACATCAACAAATAATAAAAAGAAAAAAAATGGTAAAACTGCTCAAAACTCCCATGTCGTTTGGAAATTCAACGTAAAATCTCCTTGTACATTAAAAATTGCATGGCGTCCCCTTTTACTTTCAAAAATGTTGCATAAAACTCCACCACTATGAAACCTCCTTGTGTGATGAGAAGATGATTTTACATCTATATTTTTTGCATGAAGGAAGATTTCATGCAATATTTTTTAAAGTATAAAGGGGCGCAATGCAATTTTTAAATTAAAATGGGAATTTACGCTGAGTTTTAAAACCACATAGGAATTTCATGCAATATTTTTTAAAGTATAAAAGGGCGCAATGCAATTTTTAAAGTAAAGAGGGGATTTACGCTGAGTTTCGAAATCACAAGAGAGTTATGGACAATTTTGCCAAAAAAAATAATAAAAGAATCCCTAGGAAGTACTATGGTTGTGGTGGAGTATGTCGCTATATTAAAGATTGTCTTATTAATTAATGAAAGTCAAGTAAATAACACTAATCAAATATTTAAGTATAATGATCAATCAAATATGGTGTCTTGTAGTCAAATATTATGTGATATTCTTTTTATTGAATTTAGTTATGGAAAAATTGTCCATAACTTCTTTGTGGTTTCGAAATTCAACGGAAATCCCCAATTTAGTTTAAAAATTGCATGGCACCCCTTTATACTTTAAAAAAAACATTGCATGAAACCCTTTGTAGTCTCGAAACTCAGTGTAAATATCTACTTTACTTCAAAAAATTGCATGACGCCCCCTTATATTTTTTTTAAAAAAAAAAATTGCATGAAACCCCCTCGTCATTTCAAAAACATAGATAGAAAATCATTTTCTCATCAAACAAGGAAAGTTTTATGGAAGTGGGGTTTTATGCAACGTTTTTTAAAGTATACGGGAGTTTTATGCAATTTTTAAAATTACAATGAGATTTTATGCAGAATTTCAAAACCACGGGGGAGTTATGAGCAATATTACCTTTAGTTACTTTTACTTCTTTAGGTATATAAATAAGTGTAAAATGGTAATTCTTTTAAAAGTGAACATTTTGACTTCTTCTCTTGGTTAACTCAGTGTTGGAACTATATTTTTAATAGTGCTAGATTTTTTTAAAATCAGTTCTTTACAAATTTGTGTAAAAATCAGCTTTGATATTTTATGTTTGCATTGCATGCTGATTTATTTTTATTTTTTTTGTTTTTAATTCTTTGTGAAAATAGTTAATATATGTTTTCTTGTGAATAATGACATGTATTTTTGTTGCTATGTGGAGTAAATCAAGTTTTAATGTTGAATAATGAACTTAATTCTTATTTGGAAAAATTGTCAATAACTCGCATATGGTTTCAAAATTCAGTATAAATCCTCATTTACTTTAAAAATTTCATAGTTCCCCCTTATACTTTTAAAAATATTGCATGAAACCCCACAGTGGTAAGAAAATTCGCTAAGAAAATTTATTTTTGACAAGTTTTCGTTACCGGCATATCCAAGTCTTTTGTGCCATACATCGCTTGTCACCACCAATGCTTTTCTTTTACTTCCAAGCATCCCCATTTTTTATATACAATCTTTGCACTTTTATTCCACTTGATAGTCTTTGGTTGTCATTTCCTTCAACTGTAATAGCTTCTCCATTTGGGATGATAACAGGTCTCTTGTTGCCTGAGATAGTTCTTTCTTCAAGGATATCGGTTCTGTGCGTTATGTGTTATGTGCACCCTGAATCGACAATCCATTCATCATTACGATTAGTCTTACCTGCCATGTTGGCAGACCTTGAAACGTTGTTTTGTGGCGTTACTTTATACTCTAGAGCAAAGTGCTTCAAAAATTGCACGTGTGGTTCTTTTGTAAGGTTTGTGATGGGACCGTTGTCAATCTCTGCACATGATGTGTTTGGTCTTTTCTTGTCCCATTTGTTCTTCCCACGCCACCATTTAGGATAGTCAATCAGTTTGAAGCAACCATCCCGCGTGTGTCCATCTCTGTTACAAAAATCACAGTGACTAGTTGGTTTTTATCTTTTTTTGCATGATTTTTTTTTTGAGCCAACACTGCGTTTAATAGATGCTTGAAATGCTACTCCCTCATGGGCAGATCTTTTCCCACTCGTTATTGATCTTTGTTGTTCATGTTCGGCGACCAAGTGATAAGCATTTTCCAATGATTGGGTCAGTTTCATGGCAAGTATTTGAGTCCTTATGACAAAGAGTTCGTTGTCGAGACCCAGGAGGAACTCGTAAAGTTGTTCCCTTTCACTAAGTTCCTTGAAAGATTTTCCAATGCCACAGGTGCAACCTGTACACGTACATTTTGGGGTGGGAAGAAAGGATTGTATTTCATCCCACAGCCTGCGAAGTTTTGTGTAATAGGCTGATACCGCCATTCCCTCATGCCTTGTACTCGAGATGGATTGCTTTAGTTCATATGCATGTGGTGCACTTTCCTTACCGAACCTTTGTTGAAGGTCTGACCAGATTTCCGCAGCAGATTTGGCATAGTTTACGCTTCCTTGAATCTCCTTGTCCATGGCTATGGTGAGCCATTCTTTGATCATCGCATCCAAGCTATATAGTTTGGGTTGGTGTTTTTTGGTTTTTTTATGGTCTTGTCAATGAATCCTATATTGTTTTTTGGAAAACAGGAAGTTCTCTATTTCTGAACCTAATCAAGGTAGTTTATGTATGTTAATGCATCATTAACGTGCATTTGTCTTGGATAATCTGATGGGTGAAGATAATAAGGAGAACTATGATCTAGGATGCTTCCATCACCTATAGGATCATCTTCGGCCATGGTGGCGATTAGGGTTGGGTCGATGTGATATTCACTGCTCTGATACCATGAACAATTTTATAAGAATTTGTATTTTGTTTAAAGAGAAAACTGATGTGGATTGGCGTACAACAGAAACTAAATAATACTCCTTGAATTAAAATAAGGAAATAGAATATCCAGTAAAAGGAATGTAGGCAACACGGATTCTAAGGAGCTAATATAGAATATCATAAATGGGACTGATCCGTAGGAGAGTGAATGAAGGAATTCCATAACATTAGATTTATGTGGTTGTGTGAATGATATGTAGGCTGTAAAAGAAAAAAGTTTGCATTATTTTCTTGGGACGATTTTAGATCTTATTCCCTTCGTCCACGAGTAGGTTTTTCATTTGACTTTTGCATATGGCTTAAAGTAAATTGATATTTTATAGATATGTAGTGTAATAAAATAGTATAATATCCATTTTACTCTTGAAAAGTAATGTGAAATATAGAGATATTTTGGTATTGAGTTGAGAATTATTTTTTCTAAAAAATAATGAGAAGTTTTGATTTAGAAAGACTAAAATGACAAATGGAAAATTTATTTGTATACGGAGGGAGTATTATTTTTGTAAAAATTATGTAAGTATTCACTTAAAACGATGAATTTTATAACAAAATTTAATCGATTGCTGTCAACATCCTAAAATTGAGTTAGTCTCCAAATTAAATCATATATATTTTTTCACTATATTAATGCCTAAAAAAATGCATAGAATATTTATCTTGTCATATATTGCAATATTCGCGTTTGAGTGATAGCATAATACTATATTTCGTAAACCATAGTAAACGCCGCATATCATTTAATTTTTCAAGTGACGATTATTGGACCAATGTCTATTTTTCGAGCTCCGACGATGCGTACAGGTCATATTGAAAATATGCGCATATAGGAGGGTTTGTCATGTGAAATAGCTTCTTATTGTTGAAATCCGCTACCTTTCTCGTACTTAAATATCCTTCTTTCTCTTTATTTTGGATTTAATTGAAGGTTTGTGACTCACTTCGTTGATTTTGCTATTGGAAAATTAGTTTTACTTAGAAGTGTAAATGGAAGGGGAATTGAAGGCGTCAACTGTGGCGGAGGTAGCTACCGTGTTCGACGGCAGTGGTCGCGAAAAATGTGATCGACTGAGGTATGGAAAAAAGGTAGACTCAGCATGGATGATGAAAAGATTAATATTTATATATAATTTATTGTTATCTTATTTATAAAAAAAACTGCTATATAATAATCTAATACTCTAAATAGCATATATATATATATACATATTTTGTATATCAATCATATATATTTGTTAATAACGAGATAAATATTGAATTAATTTTTATTATGAAATATGAAATATGAAATATATTTATATAAAGAATGTGATATATAAATATATCATTAAAATAAGGGGATTGGTGTTTTGTTTTGTGTCAATTGATGTTATATTAGATCAATTATATAGTCTTGTATTCTAAAAAACATAAAGTCAAATTTATCTCGCTATAATAAATAATTAGTTGAAAAAATGCATCATAATTAAATTTATTTAAACATCATTCTAGTAAAGCATATATGGAAGGCATTTCATGATAAAAACATCATAATAGTATTGTAAATATGACAATTATATACATCATTATATTTTAAATATGTAGGATTTTATAAAGTAATTATTTGTAAATGTTTCTAATTTTTATTAGACTTAAGTTCTCAAATGTATAGAAAGTAGTTAAAATAATTGATTTTTCCTAATTAAAAAATTATTGAATTATTTACTTTTTGTAATACCCAATGATTATTTTTTTAAATACCCAAAATACTCTCAATTAAAATCAACCGTTAGATTGCTAATAAAATTTATCGAACGAATGAAATAAAATTAGGATGCTCCTATATTTTGTATAGTATCAGAACCCATTTAAAATATAATATTCAAATCAAATTTCAAGACAATAACAAAATAAAAAATGAGCAAAATTGCCCGTAACTCTCGTGTGGTTTCAAAACTCAGGGTAAATCTTTCTCTATATTAAAAATTGTATGCGTCTCCTTATACATTAAAAAATATTGCATGAAACCTCAAGCCATGCAAAAAATATAGATAGAAAATATGTTCATCACAAAAAAAAAAAAAATGTATAAAGGGTTTCTCATTTTTTAAAGTATAAGGAGACTCATGCAATGTTTTAAAGTACATAGAGAATTTATGTTGAGTTTTAAAATCACATAGAAATTATGAGCAATTTTGCCTTAAAAATTCATTACATAACAAAGACATAGAAAGTGGATCGCCGAAATGGAACATATAAATAAATACACGTGGTGGTTAGGATGCTGAAGAGAACAAATCAGCACCGTATTCATTTCATCAAGTTAGCAAATTAACAATGATGTAATTCGTCACAAAATATATAGCATAGCACATTAACTACCAATTAGTCGTTTATCACAAGACAGGTAACATATTTTGTGTTGATAAATATTATATTAATATTTACTACTTTCTTTGTTAATATTTACGGAATTGGTCGAATTAGTATTGTGATTAAATCATAATACTTCATTCGTCTCATTCTTACGTATCCGTTGTTTTTTTCACGAATTTTTAGAAATATTAGTATTATATTGGGATAAAGTAAGAATAAAGTAGAAATGACTAAAATAGCCTTATTAGTATTGTGATTAAATCATAATACTTCATTTGTCCTATACATATGTATCTGTTTGCTTTTTGCACGAATTTTTAGAAATAGGATATAATAGGATAAAGTAAAAATAACCTTATATTTGTGTAATATATTATAAATTGTAAGGGTATTGGTAATGTTAGATAGATAGTACCATTACTAAAAAGGAAATTAATACTTTGTTATGAGACTGACCAAAATAAAAGAATTGATAGTTTGTTAAGAGCGAGAGGAAATATATATAGTCCTATATTTAATTATATAATATACTATTATAATGTGTTATACTATATTATATTAATATTTGTTCTCTTCTTCTATAAATATTTGTTGACACAGTCAAATCAGCGTGACCTAGCTTATTTGACCCTATCAACACTGTAAACGGAGCAATAAATATACAATGTCTGCATACACTATACACAGTAAAGCTTCTTTAATTTGTCTTGGCTGAGCAAAATACTTACATATATTAAATTAAAAGTATGTATGTATGTATGTCCTCATGCTTTTCTACTGTCTCGTCTCACCCTCAGACAATTACAAAACTACTAATAATCCATTCAAAATTTCCAATCAAGAATCATACACAATAACAACAATAATACAGATATATATATATATATATAGTTGTAGAGAGAGTACATAGATATACGTACACACATACATTATGAGACGCCGCTGCTGCTTCCATCATCCATGGATGATTCCGAAGCAGTGTCGTCTAGAGTCGAGGAGTTTGAGCTCGAATCCACAAGGCTTCCCGTCTCGCTGTCCGAGGATCCCCCGGTGCGATGATGATCCTCCACAGGCTGCTGCTGCTGCTGCTTCAATGTCCAGTACATAATGCTCGCCGTCAGCGTCAGCATCATCTTCTGGTTTACCTGGTGATAAGAAAACAAAACATTGTTGGAAGACATCGATTTTTATATAATGATGATGGTGATGATGATGTGTTCGCTGCTGCATTGGTCGCCAAAGGATTGGATTGGATTGGATTGTTTGTCTTGTCTTGTTACCTCCATGATGTCTTCGGGAAGCAAGAATATGGAGCATCCTAGTTTCCGCGCAATGCTTATGATGTACGTCGCATTCATCTTCTTCTCTTCTTCTGCGTCAGTCAGTGTTTGTTTAGAAGTAAGTGATAAGTCGAGGTACATTTTGATTGATTGATTGATTGATTAAACAGATAGATGTTCTTTCTTACCATTCGACCCTTTGGTAACGAGGCTCCAGTTGACGGACCTCGGGTGCACCGCACTTAGTAGCTCCAAGAAAAAGTTCCCGTTCGACAAAGATTTATCCTGGAGAATGAATACATATTTCGTCAATCATGAGACTTGACTTGAAGAGCTTTACGACAAAATTATTGAATGATGTGTCTTGTTGGAACAAATAATAATAATACCGTACCTTGAAGCTGTCCATACGAGTGTGGCCACCGGAGGTTCTGACCTTGTTGTTAGCCCACGTCAAAATGTGGGCATCGGTGATTTCCTTTCCGTGAGAATGTGATCTCAAGTTCTTCAATAGCTGGAGCATGTTGTATCGCATCAACTGCCATAGATAGGCTGAAGAAGGCTTCGTTAGTTTTTAGATGGATCGATCAATGGCATGATGACGATTAAGATAGAAATGAGTAGTAGTATTGTATTGTATCGTATTGTATTGCATTACCCACCCAATATTAGCTTCTTGTTTCCTTGAACAATGTCATTCCCAGCGATGTTTACCAGCGAAAACTTGAGTTGTTGTTTCCCAATTTTGACGACTTGGTTGCAGTTTTCTACTTTTCTGAATGGCATTTTGATGGGAGGCTTCGATGCGATCTTCCAGTTGACGATACCGGGAGACACCTTGTCCAGCGACTCTAGGAGAATCCATCTTGTAGTAACAAGGGAAGATGTTTATGATATATACTACTATGTCAGTTTTGAATGAATCATGAATGAATTATGAATTCTCCTCCTATGTTTGTTAAGAACTTACCCGTCTCTTAGATCTTCGAACACATTGTCAATGAAGGAGGAATTCGCCAAACTGTTTAGCCAAAACCGAAACACCCTCTCTTCTCTAGAAACTTGTGCATCGTCAAATTGAGTTTCCAAGAAAGATATCGGTTTTGTTTGGGTCGATGATAGCCCATTCCTACAGATTAGATAGATAGACACAAGATCGAAGCACAGCACACGTAATAAGTACAAACAAAGAAGCTATAGAGATGTGATGCATCACTGACTCGAATGAAATGTAATGGAATGGAATGAATACCTGAATGCAATAAAATAAAATGCTAAACTAAGCCGACACACCTGTGTTGAAAGATATGAGCTACAAATGCAAGATTAAGGTTGGGACAGCCATCCACGATGTCTTTTGCTGTTAAGTATCTCTTGCACCCCATTCTATCCGCGTGCTCCAGAACCAATTTTGCTCGTTCAAACTGATCCTTCACAGTCAAAGTAGATGGATTCCCGTGTTCGGGGGCTAGAACATTCAAGAGATGAGCATAAGCCTCTGCATCCTGCATATATATATATATGTATATATATACATATATAAACAAACACCAATGCCGATCGGTCCATAATCAGACAAGAGAAAGAAAGAAAGAAAGACACGAGGAGATTGATTGATTTGTCCATATGTATGTATGTATGCTCATCATTTCATTACAAACAATACAAACCAAACAGATAATGAACCAATGCATAAATGTCAGTAGTACCAGTTTGTTTGTTTGTTTACCTTCACATCAGATGAGAAGTTTGTAACTGTTTTCGAGTATCCTCCTCCCTTTTTCAACTGAAAGTTCATCCACCGAAGTAGGATCTTTTCGGGCGCTAAGCTCATCAGCTCCTCCACATCCTGATATGCAGCATTATTATCATTACTATTATACAACAAAAACACCACTTGCGTTTGAATTCTAAAACTACAATCACAATGAATTGATTTACCTTACTGTCATCCACCAGCTCCACCAGCTGCGGCGTCTTCTTTAAATTGAGATCAGCCAGCAGTTGTATCTACAACCAAGTTTCTCAATTTAGAATAAATACACACACACTTCTCTGTCTCAAGTTCTAATGCTGTCTGTCATGTCCATACGATGATTCTCACCTTGATAATTTGGGATATTACTCCAAGAACAAGATGCCTCTGAAATTTGGAAAGATAGTGTCTGTCAACAAGTGATTCTTTCTAAACAGGGATAAACTTAACAAAAGATCAATCGATACCCCCAACAAGGCCTTAAAAAAAAAAAGAACACTCCTGGAGGAGCAAGCTAAATCTAGAACTATGCCAAGAAAGAAAATCTGAGTTAATAAATGTTATCCGAGATTGAATCCCAGAATGACATTCCAACAAATTCTTTATGTAACAAAGTTTTTCGTACCCTTCCTTCGATGAAGTCTTGAGTCCCTATATTGACAAGAGTGCATCCAATGGCCTTTGCAGAGTTGAGTCCAAGGGTAAGATTCTCGTTCCTCTCCCACGGATTGAGCATCCTCTTTGTATTTATAGCACGCTCATCGATTGTTCCAGGCACCGCAACATTAATAAGTTTACTGCATCCAATAGACGACACATGAGACTAAAGCTAAATATTCGCGGCGGCTATGTTCATACTAACTAAAAATGAAGAAGATGATGATAAGCACCCACCATATAAGTACTCCATCCTTGGCAATCTCGAAGAGATCATTTGTCGCACTGTCTATGGGAAGATACTTCTTCAAGAATTCATCGTCAACAAGATAGTTGTTGATGTGAGAAACATAGGACGCCTTCTCCGACTCGCTTATGGTGTGGAGCAGTGTCGACGTGGGAGACTTCAAGAATGCCGAAGCATTCTTTGCACCGGATCCTCCTCGCCTTTCGGTAGCCAGAGATTGAAGCTTTAGATACACCTGCAGCAGCATCGGAACAACCAAATTATCAAGGTGAATATGAGAAAGAACAACAAAATTGAACTGTTAACAAGCAACAAGGAATTCGATAAAGCATTTCTGGATTATTGATTCTGTAAATCCATTTCATCGAATAAGAACTTCGAAGATTGAATCCAGAATTTGGAAGATTTTGCAATTCTGAGGTAGTGAATGGATCAATAGATTCGATCCTACAGTTAGTTCTCTTCTCTTCATTGCTCAGAAAGTTCACGAACCCACAGAAGATTTTTAGATTCATCGCTTCGATCTTCAATTTCTCGAAAATCTCAATCCAATCTTCGCGAAAACCTAAATCAAAACACTCAAAATCACCAAAATCACAGTTCGTACCCTCAAAAAGAGCTCGAAATCAACATCAATCTCCAAATCCTGATACGATTCGCGTAGAAATGCCGCTCTCTCCTCCTCCGTGAGATTCTCCCCGACGTGCTTCAGCCTCGACATCTTCTCCGGCAGCTCCGCGAGCTTCAAACCCCCGCCGCCGCCGCTCTCCCTCCGCATCGCCGCGTACTGCACAACCAACCAACCAACCGCATTAATCGAAACCGCTCCAAAATCCAAAACAAAGAAACTCAAAACTCACTTACCGAAGACTTCAAGCTCCGGAGCTCGACCTGCGTGAACTGATTCTGCAGCCATGGATCCGAAACGAGGACGCCACAATAGCCGGCCATGGATTCTCCAGACCAAGGAAGTAGAACCCAGGATTGGGGTTGGAGGAGACACTGGGGACGGCGACAGAGCTGGCAGAGTGGGTAAGAGTATGGTATTTTGGAGAATTCAAAACATGGCAATGGCAATGGCGATGGCGATGGCGATGGGAGACGCTCTTCACTTCTTCACGGAAAAAAATCTGAAATTTTTGAAGTGAAATAAATCATAATTATTAAACTCATCTGCGAGTATGACTGGGAAAGCGGCGTTTGATTTAATTAATAAATAAATAAATAATAAATACTACCGTCTTTCCCTTTTACCATTGGTTTTTTCAAATCTGTCTCTTAACGGTCACTCACTCACTCAATTCAATTCATAATTAATTCAACTCTTATTTTATTATTATTTTTATTATTAGATTAACCGACCCAACAAGATGCGTTTGTTTTGTACTTTGTACGATTCGTAATTGAATTTTGAATTTTTACTTAATAGTAATAAACTTTAAAATTGAAAGTATTGTTCGATAGTAGTATATAAAAGGGAAAAAAATTATTTTTATCAAAATTTATCAATTTTGGTTTCAATATAAAAATCTTATTAATTTTGGTCTTAATATAATCAAAATTCATCATGTTTTGTTCCAATATAACCAAAACTCATCATTTTTTGTCTCAATATAAAAATTTTATCAATTTTAGTTCCAATATAACTAAAACTCATCATTTTTTTGTCCTAATATAACCAAACTTTATCTTTTTTTTTATCTCACTGTCAACAAATCGACAAATAATGAGTTTTGGTTATATTAGGATCAAAATTGATAAGATTTTTATATTATGACCAAAATTGATGAATTTTGGTTATATTGGGACAAAAATAATTTTTTCCCTATATAAAATTACAAATTAGTATTAATATATACTCTCACGGTCCCTTACAATCTATCCATTTTTCATTTTTATCTGTCTATCCAATATTACAAATACTTTTATATTAAACAAATGTCATTGTCTTCTATCATACAATAGGTAGTTAGTCTTTTTACCTTTTTTATTTCTACTAAATCTCAATATAATATTAATATTTTTAAAATTTTGTACAAAATAAATTGATAAATAGATATCGAACGGATGAGGTAATATTTTAGATATAACATTTATTTTTAAAATATAATATCAAATAATAAATATATATATATATAATTTGTTTGATTTTAATTTGAATTTAAATTTTTAATATAAATAATAGTATTATGATATAATATTTTGTAAAAATATACGTATATTAAAACGTTATTGAATAATGTTGAAATAGATTTGAAATCATAACTAAAAACACTAATTTAATCTTTTTAATTAATTTTTATGAATAATAAAAATTTAAATGAAAGCACTAACCACAACCTAATACTTCTCTCTCACTTATTAAATCATAAATATTGCTTAATGTGACGTAGGAACAAACGTTAGGGCTGTCTGACATATATATTAAAATATTTTCAAATTCTTTAAATAAAAAGTTTCTGGTTTTTTTTATATTTTTTGGTATGTCGAATTATTTTTTATTATTAATTATATTTAATATATATCACATATTTTATCTCATTGTATTATTCAAATAAAAAAATAAAATATTTATTTTTTTCTTCATCATATTATCTAATTTTTATATTATCTACTTAATATTCTCCACCTAAATTTATATGTCAAAATCAAATGTTGCGTGTTATTTAGAACAGAAGGAGAACGATATTTAAAATATATATTATATATAAATATTACAAAATTTTCAAGAGCTATATGTAAGACAATCTTCAAGCATATTTTTAAATTTCGGAGGAGTGAGTGTTCTTTTACATAAAACAAATTAAATGTATTTTTTAAAAAATAAATTAATATAATATACATGTTCATTATTTTTATATTATCTATACAATTTTTCAATATATCACATAAAAGAATTTCTTTGAAACCAAAATACAAAACAAACATTAATTATTAAATCAAATTTAAATTTAATGGATAAATTAAATTAAAAATATTTTTTTTAAATTTTAATTTAAATATATTATATAAATTAATAAAAATATTGTATTATATTTATTTATTTATTTTTATTATTATTAAAAATAGTAATTCTAATTTTAAAGTACTCTTTTATTTTAAAAATCATCCCATGTATACTTTTGAGCTTTCAAAAGTTATTCAAAATTGTTTTTTTTTTTAATAAATTTTTAAAATAAATTAGCAAAATTTAATATAAAATATATATATATACATTATTATGTCATACTTAGTAATTTTAATAGTTTAAAACACTTTTAAATTTATTATATTCAAATAATTTTTTATAAAAAAAAAAACAATTTTTATAATAATTTATTCAATGGTAAATTGATTTTTTTAGTCTCGTAACTAACCTTATTTATCATCTTAATCTTGTAATTGTAACATGTTGCAAACTAGTTCTGTAAGTGGGAAATTTTTTCAATTTTAGTCCTCCGAGACCGGAGATGCCTACGTAGCACCAATGTAGCTCGCCAGAGGACGTGTGTCCGCCAGGTGTCGCACATCTTGCGGATACGTGAATTTTTATTTTTTTATTATTTTTTAAAAATTTTTAATTTTCAAATTCTTTTATTTGAACTTTTTAGTTTTTACAAAAAAAAAAAAGACAAAAGACAAAATAAATAAATTAAATAATTTTTTTAAAAAATTCACGTGTCCGCCAAATGTCGCTAACCTGACGGACATGTGTTCTCCAGCGAGCCATGCAAGTGCCACGTAGGCATCTGGATGATTAAAAGTGCGAAAATTTACCTTTTATTTTAATATAAAATCGAATTGCTTCTTCTTTTAACTTTGTTTATGTTTCTACTTTTAACTTCAGTTTATTTTTAAATCAATCCAATTGGATTTTAACATTCTTAGTGACAGTCGCGTAGCAACTAACCCACAATCACCAGAGGTATATTTCTTTTGGTTGAGTGTGGGAAAATTTGGTTTAGGTTTGGTATTAAAATAATGTTTGATATGATGTTTTGGTAGAGAGAAACGCATAGTTTAAATAGTAAAATCTGAAGAAAAATAAAATACTATTTCTTTGACAAAAAATAAAAATAAAATATTATTTAAATAAAATTAAAATCACACTTTATTTCAAATTAATTTTAAATTAGAATTTAACCACAACCAAACAAACCATATATTTCAATTCCGCCAAAGTGTAATTCATCATACCGTAAATTTTATGTTACATTGCACATCGTATGTGTTAGCATATTTTTTTTATATATTATCATTTGGGGTCCACATATAAATGTGTATATATATATATATATGTATATTGAAATTCTTTTTTTAGGTGAATATACAATTTCTATTTTCCGCAAATATTCAAACATGGTATCAGAGCCTATTTTTCTTCTGGGATAGACATAGCTACTAATCCTTGTTGCTTTCGCTGCCAACGCCGGCGCGTGGCAGCCGCACGCGCCTCCGACAATCGACGTTGTATCCCTCCGGCGACCGCTGCCGTCTCCTGCTGCGATCCCCGATATCCTGGTATGGTCGGTTTTTCCATCTGACTTGAATTTATTTTGCGATTGTTACTGGGTAGGCTTGCCCAGTCTGATTTTCTACACGATTCTTTTGCATACTATACTATTCTTGATTTTTTCGCTTCATAGTATGACTCTTAATATGGATCGTGTAGATGCTTCCGGGATTATTGTTATTCTTTCTGGTGATAATTATGATTTGGGGGATGAATCAATGAAAAGTTTCTTGATTGGTAAAAGATTATGACGCTATATTACTAGCGACTTTTCTGCACCGGTTGCTCATGTTGTCACTTCTACGGCGCCCCTCAACTATAAAATCCTCACGGACTATCGGAATGCCTTGGATGAGTGGGATAGTAAGAACCACATTATTGTTACTTGGATTCAGAATACCTCTTTTAAGTCCATTCAGATTCAACTTCGCCGCATGGACATTGCCAAGAAAGCTTGGGATTATTTGCAGCATTGCATTGTTATCAGCTTATAGGGTCATTGAATGCACTGACACATGACTCGCGCTAGGATATGAATGGGTTTCTCTCTACTATACAGTTTATGTGAGATCGCATTAATAAGGCAAACATACAAATTGAGCACTTTCAGTTGATTCAACTATTGATGAAGCTTAGTCCAGAATATAAGTCCGTGCGTACTTCCTTACTTCATCATCATCCCTTGCCTTCTTTGGAGACGGCGATGAAGGAGATTTTGTTTCAGGACAGCCGCTTCAAGATGCTCAAGGCTCCTACTCTTGATTCGGCCTTGGCAGTTCCCTCTTCTACTCCTCATCGCAAAGATAATCGCAAGGATGCCCGACCACCTCAGTCTGATAAATGTCACAGTTGCCCGAATGCTGGTCATCTTTATATCTATTGCCCTAAGGTTGAGTGTCACCATTGTCATCAGAAACACTACATCCATGTGCATTGTCCCAAGAATCTCAAGGCTGGTCAGTCCTATTTAAGCTCTTCCTCTGCCATTGCTGCTGCCACTTACTGTTGAGGACCTACGTCACATGCTCACTCAAGTTTTATCAATTCATCTTTCATTAGCATCGACATCAGGTAACAACACATGATATATTGATTCTACATGTTGTAATCACATGACACCTGGTCCTCGCCTTTTACATTCCTCCCAACCTGTCACATCATCCCCTCCTATACTTACCGTTGATGGCACCTCCGTGCGCATTACCCATACTGGCCATATATCGTCCCCCCACCCCGATGATGTTTATGTCATTCCCAAATTAGCCCTAACCTTGCGTCGGTTGGTCAGTTGGTTGAACAGGATCTTACTGTAATTTTTTCTTCTTCTGGTATGCAGATTCAGGACACGTAGACGGATCAGATACTTGGGATGGGTCGTAAGACAAGCCGCCTATTTGAGTTTGACCACCTTTGCCCTCGCCATACACCATCTCTTTCAGCTGCAGTCTCTCATTCATTTTTCTATCACTGGCACCTCAGATTTGGTCATGTCTCCCTATCTAAACTCAAGCCTCTTGCAAATTCAAGTATTTTAGGCATTGATAAACCTTTTTCCTTAGTACATTCTGACATTTGGGGGTCCTCTCCTGTTGCTACTCTTATTGGGTTTCGTTACTTTGTGCTTTTTATTGATGATTACTCTCACTTTATT